CGAAGTGACAGCTGCCCGGAGTCGGGCGTCCCAATCTCCACGGCCTCCGTCAAATTCAGCATGGGCACCGTCGAGCCTCCCAGCATCCGTGGAAGCCCCGGCCTTGGACCCCCTAGCCCTAGCCTTCTTCTCTGCTTTCTCAGTTTTGCGCTGCGCCGGTCTCGTAATCCGGGGCCTGGTAGCGCAGCACCGTGTTCCTCTCTTGCATCAATCCAAGCTCCACCTTGAGGATCTGCTCGGTGGCTCTACAATCCTGGCATTTCGTCCATGACCAGTCGCTGTTGGCCCCATGCTTGGCATTCTTGCGACGACACGTTGTCGTCGGCTCCAGCGTTGGAGTTAAGTACTTGCTGCGGCCCACATGCTCCACACGTGGACGCTGAACTTCTCCCGGCTCCTCCGCCACCAAACGTCGGCCAGGAGGACGTGTCGCCTGTTCCCCGGCGGCTGCTCTGCTCCTGCTGCTGGAACTGTCTTGCCTTTCCTTCTAGATCAGTCCTCTGCAAAGCCAATCGCCGAAGTCCTCGGAGTTGGCCGTATGGTCTGCTCGAAAAGGTTGCAGGTTTGACAGGAGCATAAAAATAGCAATCGCAGAGCACAGCGACGCCATCTGGTGGGAGACAGGGACAGCCTGTCGAGATCCATTCAGCACAGCGATCTCGAGAATCGCGGGGGAGGTCAGGAACGGTCCTTTATCCCACACTTCACTCTTGAGGAAGGAATACGCCACGGGCACGGACCAGTCATTTCCTAACTCACAGATGCTCACTTCCACATGACCGCTCAAGCGATGCTTCATGTACTGAAAGGTGTTCACTGACGTGTGAAAGATCAACAGGCTGCCCCGGTCTGCATCAGCAAGTAAGCTGGTAAGAGGCACGGCACATTTCGGGGCACCACTTGGACCCGCAAGACCCCAGCGTGGCCACCAATCCTAATTGGAATGTCGGCTATCTTTGTCACCTGCTCCGACCCGCACACACCACGCACCGTTCCACTTCCTCTCCCGTGATCTGCACCCGGAGGCGGTAGTCACCAATCAGACCATGTTGCGCAGCAGTGTCAACCAAAGCACTCCCCCCCCAATCCCCACAGGAACACGTATAACTCAGGAAGGTCTCCAAACTCTCAGGCATGTGTGCTCCCACTGCGGACAACAGCTCCAGGTCAGGCTGACACTCTGTCTCACAGCACGGCTGCTCGGCAACGCAGCAAAATTGAGCCCGCTCCATTCAGAGCTTGGGTCCACGTCACCTCGCCATTCCCGTCGGCCCCACGGCTTGGCTCCTGGCTCACAAAGAACACGTTGGCCGAGCTCCGGCACGTACTCGGCATCGATGGAGGTCGCCTTCGTTGGGGGCAGTCTTTGGCTGATATGATGGCACTGGTGGCACCTGCTCCGGTTCTTCAGGTCCTGCAAGGACGTCCTCGGCCGCTGTTGCGACCGATCTCAGGGGCCGCCCGTGTAACCCCTGCGGGTCCGGGCCTCTTCCAGCGCGTTGCGATGATCGGCGGAAGACGCCGAAGGCCTTGGTGCCCTTGTTCATGCCATGGCCTTTGGCCTGTCCTTTGCCCTTGGGCCGCTTGCCCTTTCCCCTTCCTTTGACATCCATCTCTCGGCCGTCTCAGCATACACATAGCTCATCAAATCGCCGGCATACTGGGTGCTTCCGTTTCGTCAAGCATTGGCGGAAGCGTCTCCTCCAGGCACAGGTAAACCTCGCCCGAGTCATCCACCTCCATCAGATCCTCAAAGAGCTTGGCCTCGCCATCGTCGTAGACTTCCCTGTGGTAGTAGGTGTGGTTTTATCATCATCTTCTTCTTCCTCGTTCCAGTACGAGCCTTTGCCCTTGTACTCCGGCACAACGTCCAGCGTGTCATTGAAAATCTTCCTGATCGCCGCTGGCCCGCCTTGCGACTTCCACCGAAGATCGCGGCATTAAAGGCCTGCTCCAACTTCGCCACTTGAGGTACTCATGGGCCTCCTCGATGATCGTGATCACCTGCTCCTATCCTCGAGGCGCGGTGATCTCTTCCACGTTTAGGTGAGAGACCAGCGCCGACAATCTCGACCCGTAGGGAATCGAGTCCAGGATCCTCTTCCTTATCAGATTGCCCGGCGCTCTTCGGGGTGGTCGCCGTTTCATCGGGGCGCCGCTTCCATCCTGAAGTCAGAGAACTTCTTCCCCGACTCCCCCTCCATTCAGGCTCCCTCCATCCGGCGGAGGCGTTCCACAAGTCGGCGAGCGAGTCCTGATGGGCGACGACGGCGGTGGCCTGCCCGGGTTTCTCTGCCCCGATCCATCGGGCACTGCTCCCTCTGATGCCGTGGCCGTTCTGCAAGTTGGGCTCTCCAAGGCTGCAGCAGGCAGCCTTCACCAAAGCGAAGGTCCGCCAGGTTCCAAAACTTCCCAAGAAAACCCAAACGGCTGTCACAGGTTTCCTCAAGTTTCCCCATGCTCCAGGACCTGCGGCACTCACTGTGCTCAGGGCCCCGACCGTCCGAGCCGAACAGTCGGCTTTCAATTGCCCACAAGTGGGCGAAAACACCCTTCAATCCAGAAGCCATGCCGTCCTGATGCCGATGACCCGGTAATCGGGAACGATCAGCTCCCCGAGCACACACGGGCGTCCCCGTGTCCGAGGCCGCACGATCTCGGGGCACTGGTCGTCACCAGCGATCACCAGCGCTCCGCTACCATGCAATGCGTAGCGGCTCCGGAGGGCACACACGACCCTTCTATTTTCCGTGCTCAAGGCGCCTGTCGCGGCAGCGGTTCGGAAGTCACAGTTGCATACATGAACATGCCCAATGGTGAACTGTGACGCACTAAGAAGAAGCAACAGACCTGGGCTGAAAGCTATTGGCTCACACTCTACATTGCATCCTTTGCCCTGAGGCCAGCCCAACTGACAAGCCACTCGTCATCGTTGTGCTTGCTGACGACGCGAACCTTATCGGAGACCAGGTATGCGCTGTAGAATCCGACACCGAACCTTGGCCGTTCGGGTCAGAGCTTTAGTGTGCAAGGACGATCGAGGCGCAAGCCAGAGTGTGAAAGCGAATGGCTTGAGCACGCAAGTAAATCCTTCTCTGAACATCCGTCCCTGCATACCAGAAGCTGGCCGATCATGGAGATGTCACCGCCGGCTGCCATGGCCTGCGCAGGCTCCCTCCCCCGACCCAACGTTTGCAAGTTCGCGACTCAACAGGGCTCCGGCTCAACCGAAAACTCTTCGGACCAACGGCTGCACTCTGCTGAGTCGAAACGCTGTCCCAACCACCCGGCTCTTCTTGCCTCCATGAAGGCTTTGGTGCCAGACTTGGCCTCGAAGGGGGAAGCTCCATGGGCCCCCCGGCGCCCTCATGTTCCCAAACCCTCATACAAGAAACGAGAATAAACGATGCAGCAACAGATCGGGTCACGATGGTACCGAGGTTGTTGATCAACTCCTCAGCAACGGCACGTTGAAGGAAGGGATCTGCTAGCTAGCGAGTCTCGCTTTCGGGATGTTGCATGCCTGCCTGTGCTACGTGGACTACCTTGCCATTATTGAAGAGTCTAAGCCTACGAGGGGTGAATGGCATAAGAGACGGTTCGGCTTCAAGACCGATCCCAGCACTTCTTGCACTCTGCAACCTGCTACTTGTATCGGCGATATGCCAGGCCGAAGATCGTTCTTGGTCATGCCGATACCAGAGTCTTCGATGGTGAGGGTCGAGTTGGTCTTGTCCGGGATGATCTCAGAGGCAGGGCCGAGGGCCATGCATGTCAGCCAGCACACAAAGAGCAAAGAGTGCAGTGTCGGGAAAGTTGACGCGGTCGTCTCAAGCAGCCTTCGAGCTCCGCCCCATCCCTGCCTTTCTTGACCCGATTCGATTCTGAAACAGGCCCAGGAGCTTTGATGAAGAAGTTGGGCTGAGCCTCCAGCAGCGTTTCGCTTGTGTCGCTCCGAGCAGTATGCTGACATGCACTTAGTATCACTTAGTGCTAGCAGCTGGTAGCAGCTTGTGGCCCAGATTGAATCTCCAACCTGTAAATCCACCTTCAGGCGGCAGAGTCCCAACCGTGCCTCGATCTTATCTGGATCAGTGATCGATTCGTAGCGAATCTTGTCCAGAGCCTCTGAGATTCGGAGTACGAGCGTTGCAACATGCCTTCGGGTGAGGATGCGACTGTGTTCGCGAGAGTGTCGCCAAAGTCTAGGGCCTGGGGTGAAGCCCCGAATCACTGAACTGCTGCGAGCTGCATCCGAGGCATTGGAGATGAGCTCTCGAAGGAAGATCTCTTTGTTTGAGTAGAAAGTGTTGATGATCAAGCCTGGGCAGCAGTGCGACTCTGCTCGGCATAATTCAGGTTGCCTGGGCCAGTACAGAGAACAAGAGTTGTAGGGATTTTTTGCAATTGCTAGGAGTCAGTCTTTGAGGCGAGGCCAGGCCCCATCTCCTACGGCCCAGGTGCTCATCAGCTGCTGGATGTCCGCGTTAAACGCGAAAGTCTCAGCCATGACTGTCCTTGCTTCAGATGCACGGATTTGGGAGCTTTGTATATGTGCTCTGCTAGTGTTGATGGCGCAGTGACAGTTGTGGGTTTGGGCAGCAATGGGCTTAATGGGCTTCTCAAGCCAAAATCTCCTCGAAACTCCAAATAAAAGGCTGCCTTCCTGTGCCTCACTGCCTCACTGCCTCACTTCACGACCAGTCACGGGGTGGGAGCTTTCCAAGATGCAAAGCTGGAATGCAAAACTTGAGCCGATGCTGCAGCCAATGAGCCCTCCCAGTTATGATATAGACATAGCTTTACGGGTGCATGGAACCGCTATCAAACAAACTGATGTCCACCTACAAGCTTGCTGCATCTGCATCTGCAAATTTCGATATGCAGCGAAATTGCACATGAGCACTCTTGCTGATGTGCCTGAAGGATTCCGGAAAGCGACCTTCCATATACACCCATAAGTAGCGCACCATCGCCTCTGCAGCTTCGCGTGGACTTCTTCAGGCAGTGGCCTCCTGGGAGGAACCAGCAGGATCTCGTGCCATGTTGCAGGCATGCATCACGTCACTTTCTTTGTCCACCACCTTGGTTGCTGTTTGATGCTGTGTTTTCGTACTTCCGGCTGCTGCTTTGCACACAGTTTTAGGCATTAGGAGCCACAATTTGATCTCCTGGGCAGGGGTCTGCACCTCATCGGTCGGCAAAGCCTCGGATGACCTGCCATGCTGCATTGGGGTCGCGAAGGAGAGCACTTCTCCACATCAAAGCTCCCGCCTGTCTTTCAGGTTCAGGAAGTGGCTCAAGCTGTTTTGCGAAAGATTCAGACTTCCCTGGCATTTCTCCATTTCTTTTTGGAGCTTGGCCAGCAGAGTAGGAGAAGCCTGTCAGAGGAAGGGAATCACGGCCGGCACAAGGAGCATGATTTGCTAATCAAGGCCTTCTCACATGTCACGTGGCACTTTGTTTTCCATGACCGCGTGCCGCGCATGCCTCACTGGGCTGGTGGCTCGGCCACCCTGTCACCACGAAGGGGCCTTTGGGTGCATCGTCTCTTTACTGCTGCCCTCTGACTGCTCCTTGCTCGCTGATCTCGGACATGTCTCTTGCTTCGAACCCAGTCGCTTTGCGAGGCCGTGTGACTAAAACGTACGCTCCAACGCATCCCAGGGAAACAAGTGCACATGCAAGTTTGGAGGAGTTGAAAAGCAGATCTGGCGCAATGCCCTCCGTCTGCGTGCCTTCTGGCAAACGGATCAAGATCAGGCGAGCTCCGCCCTGAAAATTCGCGCGGGTTGTGAACTGCCTAGGCCTGCTCGGCTTGCAGCGACCTGCGGCAGCGGTCGCAGCGGTGGGACAAGGCACGGGCACGACGGCATCTTGGTGCGTGTGTCCTGTGAGAATCGCCACAAGCCGGTCTGCAGCTTGGACCGCCTCGATGAACTCGAAAGTGCTTTGGCTTGCCTGTTTGGGCCACTTTAGACGACCTTCGATCTCTGCATTCCGGTCAAATGCGGTGCTCCATCTCGGGTGGCCCATGACATCTTCCGGCCCCAAAGTAACACCAGGAAAGAAAATGGGAATGTGCATCAGGAGGACAAAGAGATGCCCGGTAGCCACCATGTCCTGGAAGAAGCGTAGCTGATCCTTGTCGATCTGGAAGTTTGAATTATCGATGCCTGTGCTTCAAGAAAAACATGAGGCTTCACACAAACCAGCGTGCTGAACCTACATCCTGCACACATGGAGTCTGTAGCCCAAGCCAAACACGGAACTCAGAGCTGGAACCAAGTCACAAATTATGCGCAAACCGAAATGCAGGAGCGCAGAGCCGAATCTCGGATCTGAGAAGTTCGGGAAAGCCAGTCCTGCAAGGGCTTGCCATCACGACGGGCTTGCCGTCCGGAGCATTAACTAACATTAAACACAAGTCTAGCGTTCAAAGCATGTCGATGCCAGTGCAGATTTGCACAGAATGTCGGTCCTCCCCCTGTCCGAATTCTCGTGAGATTGCGTTTGTGTTGACGTGTTTTGGTGTCAAACTCCGTCATCAATCTGGTCATGCGATATATCTCGCCTGTAACAACCAACCCGAACGATACTGGAAGACCATCACGGAACCTGTGCAATTGTTGGTTCATGGACGCGAAACTAGGCCCAAAATAACTAGATAACCAGAACGTTCCACGATCTTTTTAATAGCCTGCAGGAACTTGCGTCTTTTCCTATGTAACGGGAGTTTAAACAATCGTATTGCGGCTTGTTCTGTCGATGCCTTTATTCCAGCCATTCCTTCAATGATCTCGTGATCGTTCTCGCACCTCTGCAACTTGCAAACACAGTATTCAGGTTGAACTACCTCATTGCATCACTGTTGGGGATTTGTTGTAACTACACTCACAAATTCGCCTCGGCCCGGGCCGAAGCGGTCGGAGGTTGCCACGAAACCCCAGTTTCCCTCGTAATCCCAACTCGTGAGGCAGGCGACGAGAAGAGTTCAATGACGCAACCGTGCGCGTTTTCATACACATCACAGTAATTGCAAGTGAAAGTCAAAATACGCTCAAATTACTTGCAACTGAGTCTACTGATTGATCTACCGTTTCCTAAAAATTTCAGACACCTGGGCCTTGCGTTACTGCAAAAACTTAGCTTAGTTGTAATCGGCTTCAACTGCTCACTGTAATTCTGACTGGCTGCAACCGACCTCACGCTGATTTGACGTTATCAATTAAATTAAATTAGCTTTGAACCGATCCCAAATTTAGTCCAGCTGATCTGCGTTAGCTCTCAGTCAGCTTTGAGCGTTGGTCAACCCTGTTATTTGAATGGACGGGTTGGCTTTTACTCCATCGTGATTTGATCTCAACTGGTTTCAACATTTCAACCGGTTTCACTAGTCACTACACTGCACGTAGCTGCAAAATCTTCTGTCTTCTGTAACCCGAACTAAATCTCAGTTGTTATCAGCTGCTGTCGTCACCTTCAACTGAATTCCATTGGATTGCAATCGGCTTCTTCTTGATGTTGCAATACTTTACATGTACCCTTCAATGCCCCCGCAGCCGTCAAACTGAGCTATGGAACCAAGGAATGAGGGGATCCCTCGGAATCGGAAGTGTGTTATCTGGGGGCCAAATCACATTCCGAAAACTAAAGCTTGGAACTCTATGGCTTGCAATTCTGTGAGTAAAACCAATGGCCTGGCTTGTGTTCTAAAGGTACACCTGCAAACAATTGAACTTAGTAGTCAACTCTCAAAAAGTGATGCAACAATCTGCTTCAGCCGGTGCTTGCGTAAGACTTCCATAAAGTTGCCATAAAGTTTGTTGAACCCATTTCAGGTATGCTCTCACCTCGCATGATGACACTTCAAGCTCCAGCTTCAGACATAACTCATGTTGATGTCTAGGGATACTCTGCGGCATGGTCTGGGGATGACAAGCACTCGAGTGATACGCTTGTACGGAGAGGCTCCAGCGCTGAGGGGCAAAGGGACAAAACCACGGTCGAACGAAGCAGCATTTAAGGATTTAGATTTCAGGGATTGTTCCGCAGTCCTCGTGCACTCGCCTCATAAAGCTTCATCAGCAGCCCGAGTTCATTGGGCGTTTCTTGTGCATCGAAGGTCCTTTCCCAGTCATGGAGCTTTTCCAGATGCCAGTCATGATTGCCAGCAGTATAGACGAAGGGGACTTGTAACCTCAGAGCTAGCGGAAGAAAGCAGCAGTGCCGGTAGATTACTCTCAACATATACAGCTTCGCTTGTTCAAGCAACTTCTTCAGATTCAACATGAAAGGATGCTTTGATGGTGCTTCCCTCGACGGGCTTTCCCGCCACCCCTTCTTTCACCAGCTGACATCCTAGCGCAAAAGCATTTGAGTGCAAATGCTTCCACTCAGCACAGCAAATGAGAGACTTGGCACAGTACGAAAGGACGCTTTCTTACGGCAACCACAAAGCTTGCAAGTATTGAAATGACAGTGGCTTGTTCAGCTCCTTGTACAGATCATCCACGGATGACCTGGTTCGAAGCTCACCCGGTTTGCTTCGGGTAAATGCCACTTCCCACTAGCTAGCTCAATTTCCAACTACGCATAGTTCTTCATTTGATAGTTCGATTCGAAACTGGGTAATCAAATGCTCCTCTCGAACATACTAGCATCTGAAGGAACCTGCGGCTTTTGCCTGGGTCTGACTTGGTGCGACCAGGCCCAAACACCATAATGAGGCAACCAAGGCTCTGGGAGGGGAAGTTTACCAAGTCTCCCCCAATCGCCACAACATCCACAGGGATCCTGAAGGCTGAAACACCGCTCGGGTGCTCGGGTGCTTCTGCCACGTCGGCGGTTCCAAGCGCTCTTGGCTTCGGTTGCCGCAACTCACAAGCTTTGGCAGTTGAGGAGTCGCTCCATCTCGTTCGAAAGGACTTCTCCTAGATAGAAGAGTCTTTGCTTTAGTGGTGGCTCAAACAGCAGTAGCACAAGGATACCGGCCATGCGGCCGTTGCAGAATCATAATGCGTGCAAACGGATGGAGACCACATTGATGTTCAAGTTGTGCTTGATTGCCGAGACTGAACCCTGACAGGCTGACTTAATGTCGGCAAGATGATTGACAGCCCTAATTTCCTAATCCTGTGTTCGCCAATTCGTGTCGGGGCTGCCGTGTCGCCACGGATGTGAGTGTGACATGGTCGAGATACTCTTCAACAATATCGATGCATGCGTCCAGCCAAACTCCTTCGACACAATCAGCAAAACGTGAACCCCCGTGTGTGTGTGTGTGTGTGTGTGTGCGTGCGTGCGTGCGTGCGTGCGTGCGTGCGTGCGTGCGTGCGTGCGTGCGTGCGTGCGTGCGTGCGTGCGTGCGTGCGTGCGTGCGTGCGTGCGTGTGTGCGTGTGCGTGAGCTGAGCGTGAGAGTGCGCGTGCGCGTGCGCGCGCGTGGGTGCGCGGGAGCGCGTGCGCGCACACGCGCGTTGGCGTGGGCGTGGGCGTGGGCCTGGGCGTGGGCGTGGGCGTGGGCGTGGGCGTGGGCGTGGGCGTGGGCGTGGGCGTGGGCCGTGGGCGTGGGCGTGGGTGTGGGTGTGGGTGTTGATGTGGGTGCGGGCGTGGGTGCGTGCATGCGTGCGTGCGTGCGCGCACGCATGTCGTTCTTGCAGTTCATGCATTCCTCGACCTCTCCCGGCATTATCTATGACGTGTTGGAAAACTTAACCGCACAGCAGCAACACCGAACCTGCCGACTCCTATAGCAGTACGACCCAACAATCCTGAACCCAAGCCCCGGAAGTTGCTGTGTCCCCATGGCCCCGCAAGTAAAGATCCAAGAGCTCATCAAGCGGCGACTCGGCAAACCGAAGCGCTTGCTTCAATTCGAGACCTGCCGCTTGGATTGTGGGAAACCAAGTATATACTGCACCACAGCGACCCGGGTGGGCCTAACTAGAGTTTTGGGGCCCTACCTGTGATCGTACATTTCGGGCAGCCGGGAAATGTACGATGGAGGGGTTTGGCAATGTACTTCCGGCAGGGGCCCCGGTTGTACATAAACACGGGTTTTCGGTGCCAAATCAAGCTTTTTTTGGTTCAAGTTTCGCAAACCTTCTCAAACCGAGCGTCTCGGCCGCTTCTCCCTTGTGCACGTCAGCATCGCATGGGCTACCACGTTTTGTGTGTTTTCTCCAGTCTTGTGTTATCTGCGCTGTCTCTTGCTCTTGCTCTTTCTCTCTCCCCCCTCTTGGTCTCTCTCACTCTCTCTGTCTCTCTCACTCTGGCTCTCTTATTGTCTCTCACTCACTCACTCACTCATTCACTCATTCACTCATGCACTCGTTCGCTCACTCAATTCATTCTCTCTCTCTCTCTCTCTCTCCTTCCGTCCTTCCGCAAGGGTTGAATGGGCGAGTTAAGCCCCCGCGGCTTTAGGCCCGCCCGTTTTACGGGTTGAATCTCTCTCTCTCTCTATTTTCGGAAGGAGGACAAGGACTGCAAACCCGAATCCAACTAAACTTTGCACAGCTTGCGCTCCTTCGGCGGTCCTGCCTTCTCACCCCTCTGTGCAGCAGCTGCTCTTCAGCTGCCGCTGTACATCCACACTCTGGACTGGCAACCCCTGTTCCGCGATCTGCGCGATCGCATTCCAGAGACATATACATATACATATATATACACACAGAGGAAGGATCAGCGGCTTCAAATTGTCCACGGAAGCGTTGCCGCCAGATCTGTGCGCAGCCAATCAGAATCGACGCCTGGAGCCACTTGCAGGCAACAGTTGCCGCACGACGGCGCGGCACCCTAGAGTCTAGAGTCTAGGGTTTCTGGTTCCAGGGTTTCTGAGTTTAGGGTTTTTTGGTTCCAGGGTTTGGGGTTGAGGGCTTCAGGGTTTCTGGGCATGGGGTTTCCGGGTTTGGCCTCCAACAACTCAACAGCCTGCAATCCCTCTTCTAAGAAGCCTGACAAGCCCTTCTTTTTGAGTCGGCCGAATTGTACGTTGTCCAGTCATAAGGTACAATTCAGCCGACCCGGCCCCGGGGTACCTTTAAGGGTTCCTTTTAAGGGGGTTCCTTTAAGGGTTCCTTTTCCTTTAAGGGAGGGCTTAGGGCTTTGGGTTTAAGGCTTTACATTTAGAATTACGGCTTTAAGGGTTGGGGGTTTAGGGTTTTGGAGGGATGAGGGCTGGGGGCTTAAAGGAACCCTTAAAGGAACCCCCTTAAAAGGAACCCTTAAAGGTACCCCGGGGCCGGGTCGGCTGAATTGTACCTTATGACTGGACAACGTACAATTCGGCCGACTCAAAAAGAAGGGCTTGTCAGGCTTCTTAGAAGAGGGATTGCAGGCTGTTGAGTTGTTGGAGGCCAAACCCGGAAACCCCATGCCCAGAAACCTTGAAGCCCTCAACCCCAAACCCTGGAACCAGAAAACCCTAAACTCAGAAACACTGGAACCAGAAACCCTAGACTCTAGACTCTAGGGTGCCGCGCCGTCGTGCGGCAACTGTTGTCTGCAAGTGGCTCCAGGCGTCGATTCTGATTGGCTGCGCACAGATCTGGCGGCAACGCTTCCGTGGACAATTTGAAGCCGCTGATCCTTCCTCTGTGTGTATATATATGTATATGTATATGTCTCTGGAATGCGATCGCGCAGATCGCGGAACAGGGGTTGCCAGTCCAGAGTGTGGATGTACAGCGGCAGCTGAAGAGCAGCTGCTGCACAGAGGGGTGAGAAGGCAGGACCGCCGAAGGAGCAAAAGATGCGCACAAATGATCTCGTTGCCATGGCGTCAAAGACCAACTGGTCAAGTTTAGTTGGGTTCGGGCTTAGATACTCAAGAGAGAGAAAGAGAGAAAGAAAAAAACGTCAAAGGAGAGACATCGAGAGAAGATGAGGGAAAGAACAAACAGAAGGGAGACAGTCAGATAGAAAAGGGGGGGAGAGAGGGGACAGAAAAAAAAAGATATTCACGAAAGAGAGAAAGAACAGAAGGAGAGAGAGACTGAAAAAGAGAGACACAATCAAAAGGGAGAGAGAGAGAGAGAGTGCGCAAGCACGAGAGCGCGAGCGAGCGAAAAAGGGAGAGAACCGGAGAGCCGAAGCGATGATGATGTGCAGCCGGGAGAAGCGGCAGGATGTGGGGAGGTCGCCGCCACCTAATGACCACTTTCGCGTGCACATACCAAAACACAACATAACCTCCGGAATAATGTACGACAAAGGGGGGTCATCGTACATTACCGTCAATATGTAAATTAGCAGCCTGGTGTACGGGCACCCTCGTTGTACATTAGTTGGGCGCCCCCCTACAGCGACTCGCGCACTAGAATCGATTCTCGGACTGGTCGAAGGCTTCCACAGCATTTGCACTGGCCAAAGGATTCGCGCACCCAAGATTCTCGCACTGAAAGCACCTGATTCGAGCACCATGGATTCGTGTACCGACACCGTGCAGATTACCGCACCAACCGCGCAGATTCGCGGGGGCCTTAGACCGTAAACCCTGTAACCCAAGCCCAAACCCTGAAATCCCTGAACCCGTGCAAAGCTGAGCCCTAAACCCGGAAACCCTGAAAACTATACCCCGAACCCTAACACCGCCTTAAGATTTAAAACCCTAAACGAGCCGCATCGAGCCGCATCCTGGAAGGCCTAAACAGTAGAATGCACAAGCCTGAAGATGGCCTTTTGATGCCCCAACCTCGTATTCAACCCCAACCCCCGGAAGCCGTAGTTTCGGAAAGTGTAGACTCGGCTCCCGGTGCCTGCAGTGATATCCTGAATCCTTCTTAAAACCCTCGAGTCCTCACGCCTTATATGACCCTACCTGAAGTCTCATGCCCCCTAAGCCCTCAAACCCTGAAACCCGACACCTGCAAATTCAAACTGAAATCTCCTCTTCCTTTCCTGTCGAAGCCCAAGACGGTAAATACCCAAATCCCAAAGTCCTCAAATGCCGAAGCCAGCAACCCTTAGACCCTGGGCGCAACTCGAAATCGGAGGCTTGCAGCCGAAAGCTTCAAGGATCTTCAGGGCTTCAGGGATCAGCACCCGCTTCCAGGGGTGTGTTTGCACTTCTAGGAAGGCTGAAAATCCTTGGACTGGCGTCTAGCTGCAGTGATATGCAGTGAAACTCAAGTCCTGTTGCTGCCCGAGATAGCTTTGCAGGATGCTAACTGCTATGTTTGCAAGAAAGACTGCATCGGCTCTCGGCAACAACTTCATGCCGGACCGTGAAGAAACTGCCACTCTTCAAGCTTCAACTGGTTCCCATTGAAAGTTCAGACAGAATCCGCAAAACTGCGTGCCGGTGGGCAGGAAAGGTCGACCCTGAATACCAGGAATGGAATGGTCCCTTAAGCTGACGGGGACCTGTGCTGGTCCGCATTCGCGAGTCGAATCGCTGAGGCGCAGTGAAGGCCCTGTGGCAGAATATTTTTCTGACCAAGTTGGCATCCTTTCCGGCAAGGGACTTTGCCAAGCTGACGAGAACTGAAAAAATTGTGACAAAGGGTTAATGGACAATCGTGCAGGTACATCCAAACCATGACAAACAAGCCATCATTCGCTCGACGCAATACAACGTACCCGACACTCCTGTGCATCCGATCGGACCACGGGCTAGCATCAGACTCGCGTGAGAAGTGGGTGTCCGGAACATGCAAGATCCTTGGCTTTTGGTTTGACTTGACTCGACAAACGAACGCTGACCGGCGTCACCGTATAACTGCCACCAAGGATCTTTATTAGAGCTTCATGCTGAGAATTCGGAACCTTCGGGCAATCGACAGCCCATTGTGTTCTCCTCGGCACTCGTCTGAGCCGAGCGACTGATGCTAGCTTGGCCTGGTTCAGATCAATGAACTCGACATCGTAGAGCTCGTGGGACCACGTTACATCACTGCCCGATGCCAGAGCGGCAAAAAGGCTCAGAGTGAACCGCATCGACAAAGAGCCATCCGGCAGGCTGTGCTGCAAGAGCCACAGGAAGCCGCGGTCTAATACTTGGCTTGTGATCTACACCCTGTGCCAGGATGCCACAGCAGCCATAGAATTCGCACCATGAAACTCTCTTTGCCTTTATGTCTTTCTCGATCTCAGCCTTGCTGTGGACAGCAGCCTGCAGGGCATCCTGGAACTGAGAGAATCAGAGTCATCAGAGCCCTCCCGCTCTAGCACTGACGAGAAAAACTTATCTACCTCTTCGTCATTGGATGCAGAACAGACCTCGCTCCTTCGCGGACACTGCCTCAGCCTCAGCATGGCTGTGCAACTATCATCAACCAACCTTGTTCGTTGCCTTGATGGCATTGCAACTACAAGAACAGAAACGAGACATACTCTTGATATTACTGACACAGGTGTGTCACGCAGTCTGCAATGCTAAGCAGAAGCGATTCACACTTCTAACGGGTTTGCAGGTCTGAAGCTGCAACAGCACGCTGCCCTGCAACATGTTCGAAAGTTTAGCAGCGCTTCTAAGGCCAAGACCTTGGCAACCTGAAGCTTCTCTTCGGCCGCTGCCAGCGCCTAGCAAAGAAGACTGCTCTTGGCCTTTCGTCCTAGCACGGAGCGATTCGGCTCGACAGCCTCTTTGGCGACCGCCACGGCCTGAGACCGTGCAACGGCCTGACAGTGTGAGTGCTACCCTTTAGTGCCTTCAGCCTTGGCAAAAGCAAAGCTTTGGGTGCGTCTTGTTTCAGCGACTCTTCTTGGCCCCTATCTGCAGACCTCTTGCTCAAAGTTGTCCACCTTTTCCTGCAGCTTCTGCAGCCGGGTGGTTATGGCCACCTTGCGATGCCAACCAAAATCATCCCTCATCATCCCTCGTCAAAAAAAGCCTTTAGACGCCTTCGAGAAAACTGCAGCCTAACAAAACTGCATGAGGTCAGAAAGCGGGCCTCCGCAAACTGCACTGCGCAAAGGCTAAACCTGCTCAGACAACTTCAAGACTTTGAGATGTCATGCTTGGCGGAACGGTGCCCTGCCTCTTGCGGTCCCCGGGCTTCGTCTTTAAGGCTGTAGGCAGAGCCGCCTACTTTCTACGTAACCCCGCTGCCAACATCATGAGGCTGGAGGCACCGCAGCGAAAGCCTTGAGACTGGCGTCCAAGCCGAAGCCATCAAGGATCTGCGCACAGGCATGGGATTCGGGATGCACAGGGAGCCATGGCTAGCAGCTCGTGCCTTGACCGAAGCTTCAATGGCCTTGTTGCGCTCTCGCCACCTCGGTCTATGTGGAGTCGAGCCGCGACCGCGGCCAAAGGCCGAAGGTGGCGGGTGCCTTGGGGCTTAGCTCCGCACTCCTGGCCGGAGAAGGCCCCACTCTTCACTGCTTCCCAGGTGGTCGTCAGAAACTGCAGCCGAGGGCAAATGCAGAAAACTCAACGACGGGCTTGGAGAGAGGCCCCGAAGGCCTTCTGAGACTCGTCTTGGTCTTTCAGAATGGCATCTTTTTCCGCGGCCAAGCTCTGTTCACTCTCCTGCAGGAGAACAGCGCGCATCTTGCAGTCTTGCACTTGGGCAAAGGGTCCTGCGCAAGCTGCAGAGCCTGTGTTGCTTCTGCCACGGCCGCCTTGCAGCTGGTGCCGTGGTACCAACAGTCCCCCCTCTCTCAATGGTCGTGAAGCCTCGCCTAAGGCCACTTTCCTTCTCGACGCAGCACATACAACATACGGAGGGCAAGCTGAGCTCCACACACTCGAGTCGGCCTGGGTTTGGTCCTGGTAAAGCCACGACTTGAATTTCCAGCTTTGGTGTGTTCGGTCTGATTCTTTTTGACTCTCCAAGGCCTTAGTCGCCTTGTCTTCCTGACTTTGGGCCACCTGGACTGAGACAGCGAGCACTTGCTGCACCGAACATCCCCTGTCGAATCCCGGCCTGTCCCTCGACCATCTGCAGCTGTGCAGCCGCTTTCTCCTGCAACCAAATAAGCACACTGCAGAAACCGCCGTCGCTGCAGAAGGCTGTGCATCGCCTGCTTCGCTTCGAAGTCCGCAAGAGTGGATTGTGCGCTTGTCACTTCCGCTTGCTGCTTTGCCTGAAGGTCCAAGTACTCCGTAACAGTGATCGTGACATCAACCACAGCAATATCGACAGCGACTCACCCTCAATGTCGGCATCAGGTCGGGATGTATCACCGAATAAAACGAGCACCATTACAAGCATGGCGAAAGCCACCGCCAATCACAGCATTCACAGCAGGAACCCGTCAGCAAAAGATGGTGACTTGCGGTTGTTTGCGGCTCATCACGCTGCCGTCGTCTTTTGCTTGTCACCTGCATCTTTTCTGCCTGTTTACATCAAAAACCTCGAGATTCGCAGGTTTCAAATTTGGTGGTTACGGCTTGAGGGGGTCAGGTTTTTCAAGTTCAAAGGTGACGGATTACGGATTTGGAGGGTTTGCTTAAGATTCGGCTGTCTATAGTTCGTCGAGTGGTGAGCTCACGTGTGCCAGTGCACAAATGTTACGCCAGGATACCCCAGAAATGCTTGGAATTACGGGCCTCTGACAACCAGTTTCTGAACACATGGGTTTGCGCTCGCTCATTCATACTGCATTCTCTCAGCACCATTCTTCAGTCAGTGTTCGGCCTCAGGAAACCTATTGGCATCCTGTTGGTGCCTTACATGGAGATGTCTCTGCTGCACTGCTCTTCTGCGATGGACGAGTGCGAAAGAGGCGCGCTGCCTGATGTCGTGCTCGGGCCACCCTCTGAGATGCGCACGGTCCTCCCTCAAACCACCGCTCAGGCATGTCGATGTGCTTTGCGATCTTGTTTATGGAGCCCTGCTTTGCGCGCACTTGGAAAACGCAAAGCTCCCTGGTCTGAGTATGCGTGGGGCGTGTTTTTTGCTCCGGGCGGACCACAGAGTGTTCGCTCACTTGCGTCGTTTACGTTGACTTCACGGGGTCAGCTCTTCAATTTGTCCAGAGCCCCCCAGCAGAGCGATCGTCCGCGACTGGTGCCAAGAAACGGATGGACAAAGACACTTGCGATACCAAACAAGGACACAAGCGAACCCCTCCCAAGAGACGCCGTAGATCAAAGAGGACGCATCATGCTCTTGAGATTAGGTCAAGCAAGCAAAGCCCCTGGCACCGCACACGGGCAACGCTAAAACGAAGTGAAACGAAGACGAAGGAGCTGGTGCTTGCAGGTGAGGTTGTCCCATTTCACTGTCACATTCAATCAGATGCAACGCGACGTAACAACTGTATTCGCTACAGTGCGGTGATCCGAGCCTGGATCTGCTTCAGCGTGGTCTCGATGGACTCAAGCATCGAGTTTTGATACTCGTGACGATCGCCCTGAACAAATTCGTCGATTATGCTTGTCTGAGATGCGTAGCATTTCGCTCGATCTGGCCTTGGCTGAGCTGATGCAGTGTGGCACCACTGCCTAGCAAGGCAAGTGTGGCGTCTGTGAAAACCGTAGTGTAGATCTCAGCCTCTCTCAGCTCAAATCTCAAGCGCCTGTAGCATCTCAACCGTGGATGCGCTGATGATTCCACGAGCCTGCAGGAGGCCCAGGAATCTGCGACAAGCGCGAACGCTCTGCGACGCCTTATCCAGCTGCTCCAGCACCGGTGTCAACTCCTCCAAACGCAGAGCAACCTCTCTTGGACAAAGCCCTCACATGCAGCAACGTACGGATCTTCGCTTTTGTAGCGTGCCCATTCCTGTTGAGGATACCCTGCGAAACCCTGATTTGCTTACAGCAGGGAGTCGCAGTCCTTCTCCATTGGGTCAACGATTTTGGGCGCTTTGGCCTCATCTGGCAGCTCCACGCTTTGGGGCGCAAGTTCTGAGGCTCGCTTTAAACGAATCAAACCACCAGCCGAAATGGATGCCGACTGAGCAGCCGGCCTGCTGGGTGCTGGCTGCCTGCTGCCCGCGCTTGCCCTCAGCCGTCTGACGTTTGAGCTACAAAAGCTCCCCATTCCCCAATCCCAAATCTGCGACATGGGCCCAGGCCATGGCTGAAAAGCGAAAGCTCGGAACCGTCTACACAGTCTTGACAGATGCTTCGGCTGGACAAAGCAGCCTGCAGAGACTTGGCAGAGCCAATCGCCTTCCCGCATAGCCCTTCGAGCCCCTAAAGCTACAGCAGCTACAAGCAAGCCCGCTCCTTTTTGTGGCGTGCGCATCTGTCATTGGCCGCACTTAACAGGGGAACCGGAACCAGCCCTCGCACATCTCTCCAGAACATTCCAGACCCCCGGGTTACACAACCTGCGACGAATTGTTGCATGCATGGAACGAGCTCGCAACTCACTTCTTGAGCAAGTCGTCAATAACAGAGTACCTGCCAGCATCAGCGTCCCATTCCGCCGTCGATGACAAAAAGATGGGAAAGGACAAAAAGTGCTCCACGGTGCTCCGATTTAGGGGCTCGACAGGAACACACCGCCAATGCCAATACTGCAGCCTATAAGCCTTGGTCAGCTTCGTTCGAACGGGATGCTCTTGCTCAGCGTGAAGTTTTGCTACCCCAAGAGCTCTCTATAAGGCCGCAACTTCAGGGGTGAGAGGCTCTCGTGCATCACAAGTGCAACGCCAACGATGACGATAACGCGCTTCGCCTGATGCGACCCCGCTCATGTGGGGAGCACTCGGCAGCGGAACTCCCTGCAGCTGGGCAGCAGTGTTTGCCACTGACGACGTTACCGCATTTGTCTTCTTGATGGTAAAGGTTGCTAGCCTCAGGCTCGGATTGCTATTTTGATGCGTTGGAACATGCCTGCACCTGGTCTGGGTGCACCACTCGTTGTATGCATAGAACCAAAGGCCAGAGTAGATCAGATTCAACAACACCTCAGCACATGTGGGCCCCAAACCTTCGTACTCGTACAAGTTGAATCGAAGGTTGATGCTGAGTCAAAAGATCTACCGCCGCCAGCAGCCTTCTGCAACTTCGTTTATCCATGCGTCAGCAGCAAGTTTGGTATACGAGACTGGTGGTCTTGCGCTTCGCACTCCGAGGCCACTGCCACGTTGTTGGTCGATGCCAACTTCATAAAGGCTCCGAACTTCCTCCCCTGAGCCGGCGGAAAATACTGCAATCAGATTTGGTGCGGGCAAGGACACTTCGCGCACATCTTGCCCAGTCGACATAAAACTCAAAATCCTGGTGCTGTGATTGCCGATGCAACATCATGCTCGGCGCCTCTGTGATGGCCATGATGATCACGCAGAAAATGAAGGAATTGATCATGGTAATCGCGAACCTGACTTGCACGTTGGAGGGCTCCGTTTGCATCTCTTCAGCTCGATGGCCCTCGTTTCTAAACGCTGCTCGTGTCGAATAGTCTGAACCCTGCTGCGGAAATCCTTCTGGGCTCGATGCTGATTTCCGACACCACCCATCCGGTCCTGCAGGACTCGCACTTCTTTTCATCTTTCAAGGAGCGGCTTGCTTTTAATCCAAGACTTTGCGTAGTTTAGGATGCTTGAAAGCAAACCTTTGCACATGTTTGGACAGCGAGGATCTGTGAACTTCTATGAGCATGAAAAACTAACTTCGAGCTGCTCGAAGGCTTGGGGGTCCTACACAAAATTTCACTGAAATCTTCTAAGCACATTGGGGGTAGCGGCCTCGAACAGTTCTTAAAATAACCTCCCACACAGGACAGACGAAAACAGAACTCCAATCACCGGATGCCAACCTTGCCGAAATCGCAATCACACACGGCCAAATTTGCGGATAACCGAAATGTCGAAGGCTTCCTTGCATGAGACATGCTGGACAATTGCACCGATGAACCAAGAGATACCACACATGTCAAAGTCCCCAAGTCGCATGCTCATAACCGCAAGACGGAGCTGCCTTCAGACCCGGTGTTCCCATCAGCTTCTTATTCTCGTTGCCCTGTCGCAAGTAAGTCATCGCGGTGGCAAACGGGTGGACAAACTTTGAAGGATATGCGTGATCTGTTCTTGTGGCTATCTCTGCTTTCTCTCTTTCTGTGGGCGTGAATCTCGAGGGAACCCCTGGAGGGCTACCCTGTGCATTGCGCAAGCTCTGCCAGCGCCTCGGTGTGACATGCGGCCAACTAGCACAAGGTGCCTGTGGGTGAAACAAACAATGCAAGAGCGTCAGGCGAAGGTAAAAGATGGCTGCTCAGTCGGAGTCTCTACCATCCGAGTTTGTTTTTCTGTCTTTTTGCTTTTGTTGGGCATGAGCACCGTGCCATCACTACCCCTGACCATGATTCCTGGGCCCGCCCCCTTTGGATACATTAGCTGCGGGGTATCCCCGAACAAAATTCATGTATCCGGCCACCCCCGCACTGGGTTCTCGTCCGCATAGGGCCTATGTCAGGATGCAAAACTGTGTCCATATGAGATTGCCCGTTTCCGACTCACACACTTGATCAGGGCTGGCATGGCTTCAGGCAATAGATCTTAGCGGGTGTCGGGTTTGGGTTTCGGGTTTCGGGCTTTGGCTTTAAGGTTTTGGGTTTGGGTTTTGTGTTTTTGGTTCGGGTTTCGGGCTTTGAAATGCTTTGAGAAAGTCGTTCGTGTTTCGGGTTTCGGGCTTTGGCTTTAGGATGCTTTAGGGTGGGTTTGGGTTTTGAGTTTTGGGTTCGGGTTACGGGCTTGGGCTTTGAGATGCTGTGAGAAGCCGCTGCCGTCGGACTTGCCTTTTTTTCCACCTTCCTCCATCACGCTGCCGGAGGCCTGTTTCACAGAGAAGCCTGATTTTTCAAGCAGTCGGCAATTCTGCCGGAGCCTTGTGTCGACTTTTCTCAGACAGGTCAAAAAAAGCCTGAGTGCCCCGAAGCTGCGTAGGTGCCACCTCCTGGAAGATTCTGCAAGCTCGCATGCTGTGATAATCTTTGGCACTCGCCGCGACAGATCCTTGGTGGAAAGCAAAATCTCGAAGTATAGCGGACTTCGCTGCACCATCTCATCCCCAAACTCCAGCCACAAGAAAGGACGAAGTTCGCATCGCCGTGACTCCGTGACCCTGGGCCTCGCCGAGCCTCCCGCTGCTGGTCTTCCAGCTGCAGAAGTGGGATATCGACCGACCCTGTCAAGGCATCGACGTGCGTCGCTGCCGAAAGAACGGTTTGGTCAACGCTCGCTTTCCGCTGCCCGTCTTCTGTCCCCTGGACTGCATCGCGGAGGAGGGCAAGCTGGCAGATCTCACCGTCACCTGCATCGACCTGCCGTGCGACCACCACACAAGCTTGCTGGATCGCTTGACCTTCGTCGGGAAAGGCGGGGCTCGCCCAGTGGCAGCACGTCACGTGGACCGTGGAGCCTGGATGCCACCGCGCACGTCGACCAGCGCTGCCTGAGCTGGTTCTGAAGCGCATGGAGCAGAGCTGGCCGGAGGGCGAGGAGCACTACGCCAAGCTCGCCGTCAACAGCCTCGTGGGCCTCTTCGCCCGGAATCTAGACATTTGGTCTACTTCATGAAGACATCCAACCATCAGGTGGACGGCGAGGGCTGCAGCTGGAGCCAGACTTTCACGGATTCGGCAGGGAGAACTCACCGGGATCACATCTTTATAGACGGGCGTGCCGTCCCGGTGCGACATCTGCCGCAGCCGCTCCACGGCGGGCCGACACTTGTTCGGAACATCCTGCATCACTAGACAATCGGTCTTGATGCGTTTGAGGTAGCGCCTGGGCACCTCCGCCAGCCTGGCGAATCCGCGCAACTGCGACGTACTCGGCTCCCATGATGAAGTCATGAACCGGTCGGTAGGAGCTGTTCGAGAGCAGGTACGAGGAGGTGACCGGGCTGACAGGCAGTATCGCGAGCGTCCGCCTGCGCCTGTCCAGACGTCTTCTCGTACATCCGTTTCATCTCTTCCCTGTCATGTAAGCCTTGATTGCGAGAGCTCTCGGTCCGAACATGTCTGCAGTGTAAATCGTGCTTTCCTCGCGGGCATCTTCAGTGGCTTCCATCTTGAAATCCATGCCCTCGGCAGCCTTGAAAGCTTTTATGGCTGCCGACGTCAGCTCGAGCACCAGCTTGCAATGGCACAGTCCGCACCCGCCCTGCACTGAGATGCCGGCATCGGATATGCAAGATTTGCGGCGCGGAGCAGTCGAGGCTGTGGCACTCCAGGGTCATTCGCTTGCGCGGCGGGGTCGTCTTGAAGACTCCATCCGGAAAGGGCTCCATGACTCGTACCTGCACCCCTCCGCAGAAGTCCTGCGGAAGTGCAGCCGGAAACGGCCTGCTGCCTGCGACCTTCTTGTCTCGCCTCGCAGACCTCGTGAGAGGATGCTGCTTATGAGACTTCATGAGGGACAGGAGGGGTTACCTAGAGCGAGAGGCACCACAAGTTTAATCACCTTGGCGACCTGCTCCGTGCACTTCGACGGGGCAAAGGCGAAGCCGCCGTCGGAGTCTGGGTATCGGCACACCCACTCTATCAGGTTGCCGCAACATAACAAGCTGTTCCGCACTGTTGCCCTAGCCAAGGACTGGCTTTGCCACTTGCCAAAGCCGGTGAGCCCGTTCTCCAACAGCTCCTGTGGCGAGAAGACGCCAGAGAGCCAGATGCCGCTCCATGCAAGAGGTGAGATACCTTGGATTCTGTTGCAGATGCATGTTTGGAGAAATGTTTACAGGATTTTACAGGGACCCATGTCAGGCACCTTGGAGCCAGGACCGATGTGGACTCCCGGTGGCTTTGGCCGTCATGGCCGACATACGCATTCAGAGGCAGCTTCGCGAGAACTTGCGGGGAACGGCTCATGGACAGACCACCACAAATGCTGAAGGTGCGCTTGAAGCTCCGGGTCGCTGCGACGAGGTTCTTCTGACAATGCGCGGAACCGTTGTGGTTGAGCACCACGTGGCCGTTGAACTGCGGGGTACATCTTGATGGGCAGCTTCTCCGTGTGGATGCATTGTTTGAAGAACCTTCTTTCTGTACTATGGATGAAAAGGGATCGTGTCGCATGATCGCCCTAAGATCTTGAAGGATTATCTCGGCACATCCGTCAAACGCACCAGCGGAACCAGGCCGAGCATCACCTCGCTGAACACCACCTGTGTGGTGGCATTGTCATGGCTGCTCGCAAGTGGCTGGGCTGCCAGCTCCCACAAGGCCACAAGGTGCCCATCTTGCACAAATTGTCCCGCCTCGGCTAGAGGAGGATGCAGCGCGGATGCCGGAAGGTCTCCACCCTCTTCTTACTTGGGATCGGGATACAGATGACTCGATAACGATGCTGGTTCAGAAGCCGGACCCTGGACCCCAAGAGCGAAAACGACCACTAGAATCGGACACCTGCGCAAGCTTGATACTGTGCAATGAGCTGAGAATCACCAGAATCGCAAAAACACACTGCGCCAAGTTCTTCTTCTTCAAGTCGCTGGGACAATGATCGGAGCACGGCAACATCGACAAGTGGCCCCCGCCGCCTATGTAGCAGCGGCCCTGACTGCGATTGATGCTGTAGGCAAGCCATGCCACAGTTTGCTCAACGACAAAACCCAAGCCGCGACTGAGCCACACCCAAGATCCCAATTGTCGTCTGCAGATTGCGGAAGTGTGTGCACCTCCTACCCGCTTGATCCGGCTCTTGGCTGCTGGCGCCACAAAACTCCGGCAAGCTCTCGTCGAATGTCGCGGGTCTGCTGAGCTACCGCAGGCTGAGGCCGCCGAATACTTGCATCAGCTGCGAAATGTTCGAGATGGAAGCGAGGAAAAACCTTATGTCTTGCAGCTGCCCGTCAGCAATGCCCTCGATGCGTGACATCGTGAGAGGCAAGACATCAAAACCTTGCTGCAGCTCCTCCGACAGCATCGTTGTGAAGCCAGTCTGGATCGCACTGCAGCTGGCGTCGTCACCGGGGCCTGCTGTCGCACCACTTGGTGCAGCTCCGGCAACGTCAAGGTTTCCAGCTGGGCCGCCGCGTGGCAAATCAGCACAGCACGATAGTCTGCACTGATAAGGGCCTGCAGGGCCTCCCTCCTTTCCTTCCGAACACCAGCATATGTTGCATGTAGAAGACACAACAAGTCGGCTAGGAGGCCACGTCGCATGTAAAGGCCTCCCTGTTGGCGGGCTTCCGGCAGATCACGATCGTCGGTGCTGTTTCAGAATCGTTTGCAGACTCTCGAACTCCTGCAAAAGCGCCACGGCCCATGGCTGCAATCCTTTAATCGTCTGTGTCACCCATTCGATCTGCCTCACGATGTCACTGGCACGTCTATGCCTCCTCCGCTGTAAGACGCCAGAACC